CTCTCCACTTACTACCACACACAGACACACTCAAACACTCACACATACATACACACACACACACACACACACACACACACACACACACACACACACACACACACACACACAGGAGCAAATTGTTGGGTCTATATCTATTTAAATTTTCAACAGCTAGTCTAGATGAGATTTTTAGATGAGTGTAAAAACGTGAAAAAGAAAGGTTTCATAACAGAAAGAAATCAAAATTAGAACAGCCCATAAACAACAACAAACATTAACAAATAAGGGCGTGTGTCCACCTGTCCGAAGAAGATTGGCAGTTTTAACCCTAAATGTGCGTAATTTAAAAAAAAAAGTACAGGATATTACATGTAAATTATGGAATCACACACATTAAGGGGCTTGCCAGTGTCAGTACATTGGTCGCAGCAGTGACAAACGCAGATGCCAGTTCTATGTGTAGTTATCAATAACCCTCCGTAGATCTAGATCTAGACAGCACACGAGTGAACACAACACATTACGTTTAAAAGCAGCACCTTTCATAGGCAACACGTCATATCTATAGCGAAAAACTGTTTGGAATTGTAGCATTTCTTTATATAAATATTTACGGCGGACATTTTTTGGACCGATTGAACCATATTGTATACGAACAATCTTTGGTAGGCCCATACTATAATTATAGATCTATATAATATCCGAAATTTGGGGGAAAGGATGATATTTCAGAGTGTTCGGAGAAATAGTGCCCAGCTTTATTTTCCCGAACGTTCGGAGAAATAGTGCCGGCCTTATTTTAATGTCCATTTAATGACATATTTCTGAAAAATGGTGATTAAAGACACAAAAAAGGTAAATATAAAGTTTCCAAGAACACTAAAGCATTGGAAGGTACCAAGCATTGGTGGCCATATTCTCTCTTACTTTACCTCTGAAAACAGGCGATCCCACATCCTTCAGTCTCTAATATCTTGGTTTCTTTTAAAGATAGATGAGTATTTTTTCACCGATTGATAGAAAAATGAATAATAAGCTTTAAGATGATACCAATAACTCTACATGCCCAAAAATTGACAAGCGCCTGATTCCACCGCGTCGTAACACATTATTACTGTGTGTATAATATACACATATATGATATTTGTGAGGCAGCGTGGTGGAATCAGACTCTCGTCAATTTTTGGGCATATTGAGTTATTGGTATCATCCTAAAGCTTGTTCATTTGTCTTGCATTCAACGAAAAAATTACCCATCCATCTTCAATAGAAGTGCAGATATTTTGGATTGAAGGAGGCGAGGGTCACCTGATTTAAGAGGTAATATTAGCGAGAAAAATATGGCCGCCAAAGCTTGGTAAATTCCAAAGCTGGAGAGTCCATGGAAACTGTAAATTTATATTTTTGTGCCTTTAATCACCGTTTTCAGTGAAATCCTCAAAGTAATGTGTTTGTAAATGAACATAAAAGGTGTTGAGCCAAAAAACGAACATTTGATAAAAATTGCTAAGCAGGGAGAAAACTGTTGTTTTCTCCGATTTCATTATTTTGACGAGAGCCTGATTCCACCACGCTGCCTCACATTTATATTATATTATGTATGTATGTATGTATGTGTATGTATGACTGTGTATATATGCGTATATGTGTGTATGCGTATATATGACTGTGAATGTCTGCGTGTATGTGTGTATGAGTATGCATGACTGTATTGTTTGTGTTTGTGTGTGTGTGTGTGTGTGTGTGTGTGTGTGTGTGTGTGTGTGTGTGTGTGTGTGTGTGTGTGTGTGTGCATACTGTTGATCAAAAAAAGGTACCACTCTATATGTTAGATATGTCCGCTTTTTCTTTAGAAAAAAACCCGATTCTTTTCAACCATAATATTGAAGTATGAAGTATTTCACATAACTGAAGGTGAAATGTTTATTTTTCCATCAAAAAGTTTCGTTCATGACTGAAATATCACGATGGGAGTACAATCCAAAAGTCACAAAACCCCAGGGTCTATAGGCCATTCTAAAAAATGGGGAGGGGGGGGGCATTAAGATGTACTTATGCACAATAGAATCGTAAATGGACTGATTCATCAATGTCATGCTCAATACTGTGCCTGAACTGCTACAGAGAACTGCTGCTTTTTCTTTCCTAATCCTTACTATCGTTAATTTTTCTCTACTTCTTACGTATGCTTGTCACCCTCCTATGACACGCTATTTCCGAAGCAGACTTTATGCTGTTGAAGTTAGAGAGGTGAGCAGAGTAAGCTTGATTCCCTGTAAGGACTTCTCTGTTGACATCCATCCCTTTGCGCTCATACGACGACCTTTTGCAGTTGTGAGGGACGTAAAACCTCTACAAAAACTTTTTTAAAAGTCACACGTCAATTTGCTGTGTGGTCTCCTTGAGCATTCAACAAATCAGCGCATCTGCTGCACAGAATAGCTGCCCACAAGTCTTCCTGCAGTAAAATGTTGTTTCCGGTATTGGGGAGAAGGGCTTGTGGCATTGGTGAAATATGAGGCAATAATATTATGTTGAAATCAGGTGCTCGTCAAAATAATTAAATGGAAGAAATCGGTATTTTTTTGGGGATTCGGCAATTTTTGTTTCAATTTTTTCTCAATTTTTTTTCTCTTTTTTTTTTTTTGGGGGGGGGGGGTGGCTCAATACCTTGTACGTCCATTAAAAACACTTTTATATGTAAATTTCTATGAAAAGGATTGATTAAAAGTACGGAAAATACAAATTTTGCAGTTTCCAAGGACTTTTAAGGTATAGAAGTCACCAAACGTTGGCACTAATTCCTTGCTAATTTCAATTCTGCAACCAGTTGACCCCCATCAACTTCAATCCAAAATATCTCGACTTCTATTCAAGGTAAATGGATATTTTTGTCATCAAAAGAAAGGCAAATGCACACCATTTAAGATGATACCCATAACTCCAAATCCCCCAAAATCGACCATCGCTTGATTCCATCACGTCAAGACATAATATGGTTCTTGGACCGGGAGATATTTGAGAAAGAAAGAGATGGGGTCACCTGTTTTTAGAGGTAAAATTAGTGAGAAAATGGACGCCAAAGGTTTGTTATTTCCTTAGCTTAAGAGTCCGTGTTAACTGAAAATTTACATTTTTGTGTGCCTTTAATCAACATTTTTCAGAAAAATTCACACAAAAATGAGTTCTTTAATGGGCACGAAAGGTGTTGAGCCAAAAAACAAAAATTTGATAAAAATTTACAAACCTGCGGTAAAATGCATGTTTTTTCACTTTGATTATTTTGACGAGAGCCTGATTCAACCACGCTGCCTCACATATTATTTATAACTTAAAATTGACGAGCGCCTGATTCCACCACCGCGTCGTGACAAAGCTTTAAGGCAACAACAATAACTCCACATTTCCAAATATTGACGAGCACCTGATTCCACCACCGTGTTGCACCACAATTAATTAATATTATCTTGACACAAATACATAATTATCTTGTATGGTTTTTTTGTGTTCCTTCCACAGCTTCAACATCGGCTTATACTTATACTACCACCAGACGGTCAACATCCCCCGGTTATGACGCACACACGTTTGTTCCCACCGATGACGTTAGGGTCGTCGCTTCCCCTTCCGCTATGCACGACGGCTTCACCAAACACTTGTTCATCAACTGCACCTTCTTCCACGGGCCCAGATCTGATTTCAGCTCAGTGATGTCGCTCATCGTGTCCAAGACGGCTACCAGCAACGACTACGTGTACAGGTGCGGACTTGTTTTGAGTTTCAGTTTACATTGTTCATTGTTCATTATTCATTGTTCATTGTTCATTGTTCATTGTTCATTGTTCCTTGTTCATTGCTCATTGTTCATTGTTCCTTGTTCATTGCTCATTGTTCATTGTTCATTGTTCATTGTTCATTTCATTGTTCATTGTTCATTATTTCAGGAAGAAACATCCCTGCCCTCCGGATATGTCCATTGATGCTCCGTTGCTCTCTCCAATGAGAGGGTCACCGAGGGTCTTTCCATCCACTGATTGTGCCAGTGCATATCTGGTTGAACGTTCTTCTTTTCTTTCCTGCAAGGATACCAGATTTTCCGCTTCCATTTTTGTATTCCCAAAAGCATCATCCTCTCACTCTCCTGGCCTCTGCCTCCCTCTCTTCCTCCTCGCCCGCTGATTGAGCTGGTTGCAGTTTGAAAAAGTAACAACGCACCGTTGTCTCCGTAGGCTGATAGTCCTTCTGCTGACGTTGAATGTCCTGGCCACAGCAGCGCGCCGAGCTTACCAACGCCACGATTTTTCTGATATGAGTTAAAAGTGCCGTCTATTTTGGGTGACAATGGGCAATTCATGTTTATATGGTTCTAAGTAAAAGCACAGACATGAACTTCATGAGAATCAAAGAAATTTAAAAAACAAAAAAATCCACCTCGGGGAAAAATCCAATTTTGTTGTTCTATTTATCCTTTTCTTATTTTTTTTTCGGGGGGGGGGGGGGGGGGGTTCATACTGGTGCAGTGAACCCTAATTGAAGCAACAAAGCTCAGACTTCAGCTCCGTCATGTCGCTCATTGTCTCCAGGACGGCTACCAGCAGCGACTAGGTCTACAGGTGTGGACTTGCTTTGAGTTTTAGTAAGAGTTTTACACATGTCACTTGCAACATAATAAGGTCATATTATAAGTGCCGAAGGTTAGAGGTATTACAAGAGTGTCATCATCCATCATCATTATCCAGTGCCAGAGATCTGCGACAGACATCGGGGATCATGGTTCTCCATTCATTCCTTTGCTCGGATGCTCATAAAGGAGGGGGGGGGGGGGTACAACCCCAAAGTCAAAATTCGGCTCTAAATTATGAAATTTGAGTTGTAGGCATTTTTAGCTTCCTCAGCCTCTCCTACAACTATTTCACCACATAAGAACCCCCCAAAACCGTATTTTGTCCCATACCAGGCATGTTTGTCAGCGCCATTTCCTCATAAAGTTAGTATTTTATTTTTCTTTATCGGCCGCG